ACTTTTTCTCACTCTCTATATATTATTGCCACTCCATTTCATTAATTTTACACAAAATTTGCACTTTTCGCGAGACAGAAACGTCTCCGAAAAATGTCGAATCTACTCCTGGAATTCTGAATTTTCCCAAAGAACGGAAAATAAGTGGATAATCAGTTAACGACGCAGATTGAAATATTCAACGGGTGGATAATCGTAATCAACGGTACACGCGTGCTCAGCGGCGATTAATATTAATTTATCCCGATTCGCGTGTAACGTGGACAGAACACGACAAATTATCCCATGGAACGTATCGCCGCGAGCCGAATATTCCGCTAGCGATCGCATTCATCGCGGACACGCGTAATTTTCCGGCGGAGAATTCGCCTAAATGAAAACGCACTGCAACTGGTAATTATAATATAGATTAATTAAAAGCTGAAACGATCGACTAAAAGAGATATTTAAGTTATTATGCGAATTTTAGGCCTATGCAAACGTTCACAGCGTATTTTTCTAGAAAATGTGTAAATATGTTTTATGATATTTATAATTTGTCGTCATAAAAATAGTAATAACGTAATATTAATACACTTATCTAATTCTATATTCAGTGAACTAAATTAAAATAAATTAACTGTAGTATTGTTATAAGTACGCAACTGTGAAAATTTCAATGAGAAAAGAAACATATGTACAGTGCCTTTTAAAAGCGATTTATAGACCTAATATTTTCAGTTATTCTGAAATCTATTCAAAATTGATTTTTCAAGCTTATCTTTCTTCTGATCCCATTTCTTTTGTAATTTATGTAATCACTTCCTATTATTATTTAAACTGTATATAAAAGAATTACACACGACTGACGCAGCGCAATATTGACTTTGAAGAGAGGAAGGGCTATTTTTAGCATTGAAGAGTACCTCGTTATAATTTGAAAAATCTTCACTGAGAAAATTAGGATGATTAAAATGTACATAAACCTACATAAAAATTTCAACATCCAGGCATTTACTCGAGCTGTTCGCAAAATAGAAAGCTCTCCCTAAGAGAAAACTACTGTGTGTCCAAAAATAAAACGAACTAAACAATCTCGTGCAAACTTCCCCTTTTCAGGAGAACTCAACAAAAGAACCTGCCTTTAAAAAACAACAAGAGAAAAAACAACCTTGCTTCTAATTACAAAAAAGTCCATCCAAAACCTTGAATCTCAAAAAGACGAGTAAGAAAGAAAAGAAATACACCCTTTTCGCAATAACAATGTCACGACGAAAGGAAAACTAGGTTAGTGCGTGCGAAGCATCGAATTTTTGGGATTTCGAATGAATAGAGCACATCAGAAATTCTTTTAAAAGTTCCATGACAATGTAAATTCTTTGTTTATTCCAACAGCTTAGACGTACCGAATTAATTTGACACTTTTATAAATTTTATTATTTCATTTGTAAGCTACAATAGAAAACTGAATATAGAAAAAGCTGTAAGAGCCAAAAATACAAATTTCAATAAAATATTCTTAACAAAATATAAAAAATTATTCTTTACATATGTCACACTGCTTAATATAATCGTATAATATTTTTATTTCCGTATTTTAAAGTCTTATTAATTAATTAATTAAAAAAAAAAAAAATGAAAATGTAATAACACTTACAGCCTTTTTTATTCTTAGCCTACAATTCAACCACTACACTATCGTCCAGCAATCTATTTAAGCAATCATCAATCTCCATTGCTGCTACAAAAATGACAATCCATTATTAACTCTAATTCCTGTAGTTGTAGTTTTAAAACAAATTTTAGTAAATTCCTAGGTGTCTGAAGGAGCACTTACACTAACTCATACTTTAATCCTTTTAACTCACAACTCACATTCATTTTAACCCTTTAAATTAACCCTTAACTCATTCACATATTTAACCCTTGAATCCCAACCCACTCACGTTTTAACCTTTAACTCACTCTCATTTTAACCCTTTAAATTAACCCTTAACTCACTCACATATTTAACCCTTGAATCTCAACCCACTCACGTTTTAACCTTTAACTCACTCTCATTTTAACCCTTTATATTAACTCTTAACTCACTCTTATTTTAACCCGTGCATTCCAACCCAATCACATTTTAACCTTTAACTCACTCACATTTTTAACTCTTTAACCCTTAATTTACTCACATATTTAACCCTTGAATCCCAACCCACTCACGTTTTAACCTTTAACTCACTCTCATTTTAACCCTTTAAATTAACCCTTAACTCACTCACATATTTAACCCTTGAATCCCAACCCACTCACATTTTAATCTTCAACTCACTTTAACCCTTAACTCACTCACACTTTAACCCTTAAATTAACTCTCAACCCACGCCCATACTTCAAAATTTTTCAAATTAACCCTTTAACACATACTTCACACACTCTGTAACCCTTCAAATTAACCCGTGTATCAAAATTTCAAGTAACTAAACTCAGTGGAATTATTGCCTTTTTTTAAACGTTGAATCCCAAATTAAAGTGAAGAAAAATTTGCCGACGTTTCAAAGGGTTTCAAACACTTCAGTATATTCGTTAGACTAACAGGACACTTTCACAGGTACCGCGATCTAATAGCACGAATCCAATATGAGACGCGTGACTGATGGAAAAACAAGAAAGAAGGGGGGCAGAAGACTGGCTTTGTGAAGTACATCAGGCGCATGGATAATAATGGATAATGATGATGGCAGAACGGCTGATCATCGGGCCGAATCGATGATTCGATTGTTTCTGTTAGTGCACGGCCGGCCATCCGCGTCCAGGTCGCCAAGTGGCTCGCTGGTGCGGCACAAACTGCAATTCCTCGCGCGGATCAAATGCGTTTTTGCCTGTGTTTAGAGCTCAGGCACTCGACAAATCGAGCTTGCGGCTTCTGTTCACTTTCTGGCCGCTTTTGTCGCGGTGACTCGAATTTTCGGACCGATTGTGGTGTTTGTCGAACACCAGGTGGATTGGTAATTCGAGAACTTTGGTATTAGTGGATTCGTTGTTGGTTTAACGGGTCCAAACCGACTTGATGTAACGTTACGCGTCGAGTTTCCACTATTTTTTTGAGATTTACTAATTGCAGTCAGTTATTCTATCGGAAAAAAGGGGACATGATTTTTTCTATCGTTAGGGACTGTAAATTTAGGTACAGAAGATTGGAATAAACTCGTTGTAATTAATTGTTTTACCATAAAAAAGGAGAACTGTATTTTCTGTCATAGAGAAATGAAAATTTCAGTATAAATTGAAAATGAGAAACAAAGGGACATCTGATTATTGTTGAAGTGGGTTCTTTCATAAAGCTAGTTATTTTTCCACCTTTTATAACAATTATATCGTTGCACCGATGTCTCAGAATCTATTTGTCACAATTATCTGTTCTCCTTTCTCCCATGAAAATGAAAAATTATTTTTTCCCATTAGCAAGTGAAAATTTATACATGGTAGGTTCAAAAGGTTAAAAGATTGGAGTGGATTGAATTCGAGGGCGTAAAAGGATATCTGATTGTTAAGTTAAGTGGCCTCCATTCGCTGATTAAAATTAGACTCGTATCTTAGCTACTTATTTGTTCAAATGAAACTGAATGACCTATGACTGTTAATTATCTCGTAATTATCACCATAACTGGTCCTACTCAATTTTACGTAATTGGGCCTAATTACTGCTAACTACTACTTCAACTATTCATCTCATAATTAGTACAAACCAAAAAATTGATCTCCTTATTACTCTGTTAATTTCCAAAAATTGTTTCTCGATTTTAATTACGATTATTCCAAATCTAAAATTAGGGTACCAATAGAAAATCCTACGAAACATAACCCTTTGCACTCCAAGCATCTCTCCATAAGATTAATAGCGAAACTCCTGACAATCCAAAGTTTTGTTTTGGAAAAGAAAAACAAAAGGATTTTTAACGCTTATAAATTTACTTATTTCTATTTCTTCCATTAATTTGCATTATTTTGATAATATAAAAACACCTGAATTTTACATTTTAAAATTCTCCATGTATTCATAACAGCGCCGTTGGAGTGCAAAGGGTTAACAAACTTTAATCCTCGATAACTTCAATTAAATCCTTGCTAACTTAATAATACCATCGGGTAATTTATCAACGTCATGTTTAACGTATTTGTTTTTGCACGAGTTCGCGATGCAACGCTATCTATTTTACTAAATACGGCGCGTTCATGAAGATCGTAACTCTTCACTCCGATGTTTCGACACCGCGTATCGTACAGTGTTTTTTCCTTACGAACGTTTCCGGAGGTAAGGAATGATACTTTCGATGTGTCTTTTGGTTTTTACTTGTTCTCCTGAAGGGTGTATTTTGAACTGTTATTTTGTGGTGGTGCGTGGGTATATATTAGGTCGGTGTATGTTCTGATTGGTTGGACGTTGAAGGTGGTGGAAAAGAAGGTCTCGAAAAATGCGGAGGTGTGATTGGATATTAGGAAACTAGTGGAAGGAGAACGTGAGGGTGAAGGTGGTGGGCAAAAGTTTAAATAATATGGGAAAAACCCGGAAAGGGGAAAGGGATAGGAAACATGACCAGGATGCGACATGAACTGTTTTATGGTAGGGAAGGAATTTGTTAGGGGCTAGGAAGACGGCGGGAAAGGACTGTTTATTATTTTATGATTCTTTACTGGCCGGTGGGCTGCGCGACCGGACAAGGACGAGGCTAGGAAGACGGCTGAAAAGGACTGTTTATTATTTTATGATTCTTTACTGGCCGGTGGGCTGCGCGACCGGACAAGGACAATCGAACAGTATTCATATTAACACGTAAAAATGATTATTAGTGCAATGTGTAGAAATAAAGGTAAAAAGTACAAAATGAAGAACAATACGATATATCTGGAGTTTCTAATGTCTCGCGTAATAAAGTATAAAAAACTTCGATTTTGTTATTCCTTAAAATTTTTCTAGATCGTCCAATGCTGTTTATACAGGGTAAATAAATGTTCCGTTGATCGTCACCTACCTGATTTTTCCCTTTGAGAACGAGGACGTTGGTGACGCGGCCAAACGGGACACCAAGATGGATGATTTCACCATCTGCCACTTCGTTCGGGATGTTTCTGATGTGTATAACCCTCGAAAGTTTGCCGCCGTTGTGGCTCTTGTCGAGTTTAACCTGCGCATTCATAAAAAATTCGCCATTATGTTTTATGTACGATAGAACGAATAATAAAATTATGAAATTTAACACTGCAGCAGCCTCGAATTCTCCTTTTACAACAGACTGCCGTTATAATTGTATAATTTACGAAATTAATAAAAAATCGTATAAGACGCGAAATTTAAAAAATAAATTTCTCCAAGGTGTTCGGGATATTTTCAATATGTTAATTATTCAACTGTTTAGAAACGTTTAATCTTGATTTTTTTGTAAAACGGTTTTTCCTCTTAACACTTTACGCTCGTTGTTGAACTCCTTTCGGGCTCCGTCTTTACCATCGTGCGGGAATATAAGCGCTTATTCTTATAGCTATACAAATTTTCAATTAAAATTCGGGGGGGAGGCCTACTATATCGTTCGCTTTCTCTTATTATAGGGAAATTAAAATTAATAACATTAAAGAGCGGTGAGCGTTGGCAGCGAAAAGCCGATTAATAGGCTTCCGGTCGGTAAAGTGTTAAAATTGCTACCATTTCTATAATAATTACAATTTCTGAAAAATCGTACGCTGCATTGTAAATTCTAGCAGAAAAGGTTTCGCCGTAACTCCTCCACTTTGCAGCACATTTACTTTTGTAAAAATCGGGAAGAAAGCTGAAAGTTACATTTACATCCCCTGAGAATATTGAAACCTTCCATTTAGCAGTTACCTATGAAAAAAATTCCCAAATATTTATCCTATTTTCAAATGTCTCAGAGTGGTTTAACCCCTTAACACTTAGCCAACCGCTACCTGACCGTACGCTGTTTGCGTTTCACAAAAGCAGAAAAGGTATTTTACGAATTGCGAGCAGCTCCAGTTCAAGGCAGACTTATAGATAATAAAAGAAAAAGTAAACATGATAAAGGACAACGCGTTGCTAAGAGAAAAGTGAGAAATCTCCCCGGTCGGTCATGCAGCGACCTACTTCACAGCGGGGAGATCTCCCCATTCGGTTGGGTAAGTGTTAAAATCGTTACAATCAGTATCATCACGTAAGTTCCGTCATACTTACAAACCAAACGTTCCTACAATTCCTGAACAAAGGGAAACCCTCTCTCTCATCGAACCAGAGCTTCTAACAACGCTTCAGCTTCCTCCTCTCGTCGAACCGCGGAAAAAGAAACGTAGAAAGGGGATTACAGAGCGTGCAGAAGTATCTGTCTCCCCTAACTCAGTAAGGAGAGCGCATTTTCCGAACGGTTAAACCCGGCCAAACCTCTCGAATAAAGGGAGAACCCAGTCGGCGAGGTTAGAAGGAAGATGAAGGAGAGAGACGAAAGAACAGGGCGAAAGGGTGGAAACGGAGGGGAGGAGGAGACTCGACTAGATTGAGCCATGATTGAAAATTCTGCCCGCGGCTACCTTTCGATTTAAACGTATACACGAAAGCGAAGCGAAAAAGTTTCGTTGCTTGTACCGCGGCGCGTGAAGGGGAAGAATGAAACCGGAAGTGGCCTGTACGCGTGCACCGAGAGAGCCTCCGACGTTTTAACGAGGGCTAATGGAATTTTAAAAGGCAGCCCAAAGAAGCGAATGCAACTTGATTGCTCGCGGTTCGAGCATGGAAAAGTTTCGTAAGGATGTCCTTTTATGTGAGGAATTCGTTTCTGCTTGGATGTTTGTTGGGTATGAAAGATGGAGGAAGAAGATTGGTAGTTTGTGTGATTGTTAACTCGGGGGCACACGCGTGGATTAAAATTTGAAATAAAATTGGAAGATGATAAAATAAAAATATTTATTAAAATATATGTATAATTACTGTACATGGGGAAAGGAAAGACTTCGTTTTGTTTTTCTATTTAGTATAATGGATATTTTATTGGAGAAATATTTTTTACGATACCATTATTTAAATCTTCATCGAAACAAGAGGAAATTTTATTTTTATCGTAAAAATTGTTTAGTTGAATCATTTGAAAGTTGGATTAGACTGAATTATAATTTAATGATACTAAGGCTTCGGCAACAATTTCAATTTCAAACAAATACCCTTCACAAGCATATTCCAATCCATACAATTACTACTTTACACTATAAATAGAATTTTCAAAGAAACAACACAAAATTGAGCGAACTGTTTCACAAATTTTAAAATAGTGAACAAATTTATCGGAAAATTCTCGAGCAATATATCCGAAATGATTCGAATCACAGTTACCAAATTTGTCCAGCATGAAAAATGAATACAAAACTGACGCGACATTTTCCATTAATATTTCAGCTATCTCGAAGACGAGTATCGAATGCAAATAGAAGGATAACGTGGACCACGAATTATCATGCCAAGGAATAATGGCGGAACGGATTAAATCTTGTTTTACTTTCGAGAGATTTCACGACGAGATTGTACGACTTGAATGCGAAGTAATCGGTCTCCATTCCCTCCCTTGTGTAATGGCGTATTATATTCGTGTATTATTCGATAATCGAGCGCGCGTGTACAATGCATAATGAAGGCATCGTTTCGCATAATTTCATTGTACTATATATATATATACACGCATACACAAGATTCGAATCGTTACTTTTTAATTGCCGCATAATACGTTTCCTCCTATTTATATAATTACGTTGTTCAATTACATTTAATCGAACAAGCGGAATATGGACAAAAGGGATTATTGTTATTATTGTTATTAGGAGAAGAATATTTAGTTTTTTAATTTTTTAGTTAATTACTTCGATTGTCTCGTTCGTAAGTAAAAAACATTATTGTCATTGTTACTGAAAGAAAATTATTTATTTTTTACTTTTTTATTAACACTTTGCTGCCGGGAGACTAGTTTTCTAGTCCGAAGTGTATCGACAGCGGGAGATTTGTCAGGACGAGTCTCGTACGACTCACGCTACTCTCTCGAATCCCACAGAAAGACGGAGTTTTTACCGTGTTTTCATAAATTTATCCATTTCGGCAATTTTCAGCGATATTGAAAAAGATGAAAACGAAATATTTGCTGATACATCGTCAGATTATCCTTGCAACGACAGTGAGTTTTCGGACAGTTATTACTCAGAAGATAGCGACATTGTGCCTGTTCCGTGCAACCCTTACAATTCTAAAGAATTGTAGTAAATCACGAAGCACTGGACGCGATAATGTTTACACGAAATGAACATTGTCTCAGAACTAATGAGGCAAAGGGGTTCTTAATTGAATGACAATGCACTATTGGTTTTATTCATATATTTAATAACAAATATTAACCTTTTAGCTACGGCAGAACTTTCCGCGGAGCTGTATCTCTGTACGGTAATGTTCGACGCGGACTGCGCGTAAACAACATAGCACTGCGATTTGTGTCTATTTAGTGTCGTCTCTTCTTATACATAATAATTAATAATACAATTGTGTATGATATACTTTGAAACAGAGACGGAATGAGCCACTATAGTGGCGTACCGTTCAAAAAGATGACATTCGCGAAAGCCACTATAGTGGCGTACAGTAGCTAAAAGGTTAAACAAATATTAACTGGTTCAATGTGGTCGAGGTGTGTGCCAGTGTGACTGTTTTTCGTAAACAAAAATGTTGCCTTTATACAGAAAAGAGTGATTGGGGTGTGTTGTCGTGGGACCAATCCTTGAGGTTCGATTTTTAAGGGTCGTCCTCCCCGAGCCGCGAGCATTCAGCCCACTCCGGAATTTCCGAGATGACGGAGTGAGGCATGATCGCGACCGGGGACTAGGACCCACGTGGCAATTGGTCCTAACGGGATTTTGAATTTTCGTGTTGCGAGTGTGGCTTTACGACAAGTCATTAGCTACTGAGGGAAACGGATGGGCACCAGAAGGGCGTGTGCCGAGCGAAACGTAAAGGTTCAATAACCATAAACACCTTCTGTGCCTCGTCCTCGAGAAAGGTGTTAATGAAGCGATTAGAAAAAAGGGAGGCACTCAAAAGCAGCTTGGACAGATCGTACGTGTCATAAAGCCGAAAAGGATAACGGTTTAGGCGTCCATTGTCACGTTCGGTACCGAACAGTGCCTGTGAAAAATCGCAATCGTTTTCGTATTTTATCTAGTAGTGACTCGCAACAAGATAAAATTGATTTCTATTTTTTCACTTTGTGAATTTGCTCGGGTTTGCCCGCCACAGATATAAGACGCGCGAAAAATAGCCCGACAGCAGTGTTAATTACTCATTTAATAACTTTAATTATTTTCCCCTGGAATTAAAAAGCATTATTGCTATTGTCGTTAAGAGAAAATTACTTTTTTCTAATTTATTAATTGTATATTAATTATTCGCTCGACACATTTATTTCTATTTTTTATATCTGGGATGTTAAACAGAATGGAGAATATTTTTCGCCTGACAAACTGTCTGCTGTTTCGTTCTTCTCTTTCTTCTTTTCCATGGATATCAGACGGATCGGAGAAATTGCACGCTATGATATTTATAAAAAAATTGGCTCCCCCTAACTGACAGTTAATAAATCACGAGGAATATATTTGTGAACGATACATAATCAAAAATTTGTAGGTGCCCCGATATTGTAGACGTCGATTTGCCTGTCACACAGTGCTTCGCGGAAAAATTCACGCGGCGGATTGAATATCGTTTCCCTATCATTTATCTTCCGGTAGAAGATTTGTCGAGGGAAAATTCTACACATCATTTCGAGCACTGTATTTTAAAATTCGATTAACGAAAATTAAATGTTACCGAATCCTCGGTGTTTTGATCATCATTTTTTAAATTTTCACATTAGCAAATAATTTTGTACAATGGAAATGAAACAACGATGATATTTATGAGAAATTTACTATCAGGAGGTACACAGAAAAATGAAAATATTAGTAACAAAAAAATTCCAAAATATTAACAATCTAATTTTTTGAGAAAACACTTTGGACTTCTCCTACAAAATCTACTATTATCCAAATATTTTCTCTGCCACGCTCTTATGTGTGTAATTAAACACCTGTTCAACACTGATCACAATAAATTCGTTCAAAAATCTAATACATT